ATTCTGCACAGAGAGAGAGAGAGAGAGAGAGACCGGGGGGGGGGGGAAGTTCAGAGTTGAGAACGAGAATAGCCATGAAGGCGGAGGCTGAAATGATTTGCCCTAATGATATATGGTGTGTGCACGTGTGTGTGTGTGTGTGCGTATATATATATATGTATATAAATGACAAATTTATTTAAATTTTAAAATATGAAAGGACATGTTTGGTTTTAAATTTAATTATATTCAGATTTAAGTTATTTCAATTTTATACAATTTGAGGTTTATATTATCCTTCTTCCAAACAAACCTCATTTTATACAAATTTGGACAAAAGGGTCATTTTACATGCTTGTATTTATAATTATTAATTTATTCAACTGAAGTGAGGGTATTATCGTCATTTTACACCACCAAGGACCCAATCGCATCAAATTGATAGTATAAGGGGGTTTTTTACCACACAGGAACTGATATGCACTAAATCGATAGTAGAGAGGGGTTTTTTGCACTTAACCCCTCAATAATATCAATTTCAACATACCACTTTCCAGCTTCAAATTTAATAATTAAACAAAAGCCTACTCAATAATATTGATACTGATAAGCATAATGGGGTTAATAGGGATTCGAGAGATAAGTCCTTGAAGTATTACTTTCGAACCATATTCTTAACTTAAATTGTACATGTGTTAGAGGATCAATATACCTGTCTTAAGAAGAACGAATGCCACATAGGCCCAACCCAAACTAAATAACAACGTTGTATTTGGGCCTATTCCCTGCCTAGAAAGTGATTACCAAAATTCTAGATGGACCCAACTTAGCCTAGCAAAAATTTTTTTGGTTCCGTATTTAATGAGCCTATTAATTTTTTAAGGTGATTAAAATAATATCAAAATATTTATTTAAACACCTATGTTAGTCACGTATAACGTAACTTTTTTTTTTGGTTCTCCTTAATTAATGAGCCTATTAATTTTGACAGGTATGTGTTTACTGATAAAAGTAATGGTTGTATTAGTTCATAACCGTTTTTGATAAGAATGGCAAGATAAAATAATAATAAAAATAATAATAATAATAATTAAACAAATGTATAATAAATGAGTAATACTTATTATTTAGAGCTTTTAAGTCATGAAGATATGGTTGACACTTGGCGGCATTTCTTTAAGGCATTGATTACTTTGAAATATTAAAAGCTTTCAAAGCATAATAATAAACGACAGTCAATATTAAGTAAAACCTCTGAATTCGTCTAAAATTTAAGTTAAAATTATAAAAGAAATTATGATAATTGATAAAAGTTACTAAATCCTTTAAAATTCAACCGCTAGTTTTTGTTTAAAGTAAAAATTCGATTATTTTTTAAATAGTTTCCACCATCTTGATACTTTTTTTTTTCTTTACTTCACTCAAATATAAATGTGCAATCTCCTCAATCCATCCTAACTACAAAAATTTTAGAGAAAATACTGTTTAAATTTAATTTTTATTATTACTGAAAAAAAAATGGTTAACTTTTACACTAATGCACGTAATCACATTCATACTAGTGTTACATCTTTATTTCACAATAAAGAAAAGTAACTCCTAAATTATGCGTACGTTGTCTTAAATTCGGCAAATATCTAATTAATTAAAATGCGACAAACATCATAAATAAAGTACTTTCTAACTTAATTTTGTATGTAATAATTGAACAAAAATACCAAAGGACCAAGTGGCCCAACAGTATCATTCCTTCCTCCCTCGAGGGTTTGAAATTCAATGAAAATAGGGTGTGTGTGCGTTAATTGCTTAAAATTGAACAAAAATTCACTTTTAACATTAATATCGATAACAACAATTATATGGCTTTTGTCTTAAATTCGACAACCATCTAATTAATTAAAGTGTAACATATATCACTTTTTAGATTAGAGTTTTCCGTACGTCATAATTGAATAAAAATCCACTTTTACAACAATATCAATAACGACAATGATCTTACTTTAAAAGTAAATATAAGATAAGAGATAGTTTTATTTTACTTATTTTATGGTACAATAAGTAAAATAATTAAAATATATTACACATATATATTAGACGTAGAAATGAAAATTAAAATAAAGGGTAAATAATATAGCCAAATTATTGCATTAATTAGCAAGGCTGGAAACCGTGGGCAAACCAAACCAATCCACAAAATAAAAAACCTGTGTCACCTTACCATATATATTGTTGATGAACCACTGCATGCTATATATAAAGGAGATAATACATCAACCTAAACCCACATTCTCAGTGTTTGTATAAAAATGGGGAGGGTTGGAATTTGTCTAACCCAAGGAACACAAGATGAAGATGACGAAGAAAATTTGGATTCCATTGATGGACTTCTTAAATTATCGAATTAGCTATTTACCAGATGAATTTCTTTCAGGTTCGGCTTTCTTCAATATATATATATATGTATACGTAATATATATATATATATATATATATATATGTATATATAATTTCTTTCTTGTTTTACTAAAAATACAAAATTGATGAAAATTTATTATTGATAGGGTTGCTGCTCATCCATCAATATATGCTTCCGTGCACCGCTTGTGGTTCGGCATTTCGGGTCAAAGCGGAGGGAGGCGGCGAGGTTGGAGGGTAGAGAGAGAAATGACACACATGAACTAGCTCCGTTGACACACATGGACTCATACTACAGCGATATTTTTTATTTGCAACTAATCCTAATATATATCATCTACTATATATTATGCATATATCTCTACTGTATTTGTTTGGTTTCGAAAAAGAAACCACGTGTAAATGAAAATGTACTACCCTCGTTTTCTTTTATGTCGTCCAAATATATATATATATATATTTGTCTGTCCAGATTTAAGTTTTCTTTCCATGAGATATTTTTCTTTTTAGATTTGCTAATTCTCTCTTTCGTTTTTTGTTGTTATGCTCACGACCTTTAAGTTGTTCGGGATTTTGCTCAACCCTAGGGTGTGTATAACTCCATTATCCTTTTTAGAACAATAATTTTAGTCACTAATGAGCTTTTCAGTTGTTCTTGCTTGAGTCCGGTTCAGTTGTTAAGGTGTGCATACCATTCTTTTTGTTTAAAGTTTTGCTGTTGTAATCAATTCAACGCTCAATTTATAATTTGAATGAATTAAGTGTTTATCTAATTAAGTGTATTTAAATATCACTTAAAATAAAATAAAATTTTAAAAAATATGGACATCACTTATCACTAAATGTTAAAAGTCATAATTTTTTTTAAAAATATTATTTTTAATTACTACTTAAAAACTTTAGCTCTTTAAATTTTCAGTTTTATAAACATCACTTATTAGTTTGGTTTGTCTAAACTAGCAAGAAAGGTTGTTTAATGTGAAATGAAAAGTTTTTTAAAAAATAAAATTCTCGCAAGTGATTAATTTTCCTCTATAAAAGAAGCAAAAATTTTAATTTCCTAAATGATATGCAATTATGCATGCTCTTCTTAATTGTTTCTCTTTGTTCTTCTCGAGACTCATGAGAGAAGTGAATTTTTTAGTTTAGAGTACCGAGTGAAGCTTGTCCCCCATTTCCCCAAAAAAAACTTAAGATGGTTGGGCGTTTGTTCCTTATTTATTTAAAAAAATACTTAACATATTGGGGTAGTACTGTATACCCACCCATTTATATTTATCACTTATTTGTATCGTATGCTCTTGGGCATGCCTTGTACACTTGGGCTTCATGCGGGTTCTGTTCTCTGTTAGGCTTTAGGCCTTTTCTATGTATTATTTGCTTCTATATGGTTTCTCTCAATAAAATTTTTATTTATCAAAAAAATATTGTAAACAAAAATGTGATTCTAAATATTCAATTTAGATCATTACTCAAGATGAGATTAAGTAATTTTTTTTTAAAATGCCTCTACTTTATCTCAACTTGTTAAAGAAAATTAATGTCTAATTTTCCTTTATTATATTATTCCTTATTTTCTTTTTATCGAAATATTCAGGAAAAATAATAATTTATTAAAAAACTATTTTTACTTTTCACTTTACCTCAAACTCTCTCTTATTATATCTTTACTTTATTTCCTCTGTTTTGTTTTCTTTTTATTTTTCTTCCATTTATCCTCCGAACCCAAATAAGAGAAATTATATTCACAACATTGTCCTAGCATCGTGTACCCTTTTTTTTTTTTTTTTTTCAATCAAAAACCGATTTGCTTAGGCCCAACTCTGTTGTAGAAGTTGGGCTGAAAGCATATTGTCCCACAGTAGACTCGGCCCAACACTTCAGTTGATGTATTGGGCGTGCCAAACATTTTTCTACTATTAAATTACACTCGGATGTTAAAATAAGTGGGTTGAATTCTGTTTACTTACCTATGCCCATTGAATTTATTTAAAAAAAGAAAACAAAACACACACACACACACACACAAAGCACACATAAGAAGAGCCTGATTGTATGGTTTTGGGTTATCTAATTTAATTGCAGTGAAATGTTCTTTGCATGTGCTTAAAATAAGCAAGTCCATTTGAGGATACTGAAAAATCATTTAACACATGATTTATTTACGATATTAATGCTGTTTATTTATACTGTCAAATACTTTGTGTGGGAATTACTATTCACTGTAACCATCTGATCTTTAATGAATTGTATTACTAAGGTCAAGATAGCTTTTTACTTTTCTTTTCTTTTTTTCTCTTTCCTGTCATCTGGTTTGATTTATATTCTTAATGAAATCGATCCGTTCTTTTTTTCTGACAGAACTTGTATTTATTATAATGAGGCTATGGTTAAAATAGTCGTGAAATTGATGCATAAATATATATTTTATTTAAATTTTACTTACGTGTTAGAATTGTAATTGATATAATTTCCCTGTAATGATTTTTATGCATTGTTTAAGAGTTGGTCAAGCCCAATAACTTGTCAACAATATCCGGTCCACGGAGCTCCCACATTTATGGATGGACCCACTTTTGTCAACAATATTCAGCCTTTCATCTCTAACACACACGCAAAAGCAAAGAGTTCGTCACACGTTATACTTTAAAGACCAAGAAAACACACCACCCAAGAACCAACATCTTCTAGTTTTTTCCACCATTTCCACAGATTCAACACAAATTCATAGACCCAGATTCTCTCTCTTCATTGAACGGATTAAAAACCTACAGTATTTTCCAATCATTCCATAAACGCTCGAATTCCATCAAAACCGGTGCTTTTTCTTTGACTTTCTCAAAAACCCAATTCAACAACTGCCTGGACTTTGATGGATTCCAATTCTTCTACCTCCAATACCATTTCAATCTCTTCGACTTTCACCTCCCCTTTCGAGAGCTCGCCGAGGGCCAACGGAACGAATTCTCCGGTCCGAAAGCCCCTTAGCTTGTGGCCTGGAATGTACCATTCGCCGGTGACCAATGCTCTATGGGAAGCAAGGTCCAAAATTTTTGAAAAACTCCTTGACCCACAAGTTGATGCTCCTCCACAAAGTGAATTACTCACAAAAACTCCATCTGAGAGCCGAACGGCAATTCTGTTCAATTTTTCGACTGATTATATATTGAGGGAGCAGTATAGAGATCCATGGAATGAGGTCAGAATTGGGAAATTGCTTGAAGACCTTGATGCCCTTGCTGGAACAATCTCAGTCAAGGTATTAACTTTTTTGCCTTATTGCCTGTAATTCTCCCAAAAAAAAAAAAAAATTTGGGTTCTATGATTTGGGTTTATGATGTTATTGATATATATCAATTTGTGGGTACTACTTAGAATTATGTTGTATGAAGTAGATTGTGATTGAAAGGAGAGCTGTTTGCAATTGCTTGTGGTGTGTGCTTGTTTGTGTGTTAGTTGATAGTTAATTTAGTTTGGTTGTCATTTTTAGCAAACTCCCAAGATTTTGGAGTTAGCTTTCTAGGGCAATGAGTATTCTTCTCCGAATTGATTTTAGCCTCTCTATGTGACTTGAGAGAGAGATGATTTATTACATGCTTTCTTTGCCAATATTTACTCATAATGTAGTCACAATTATGAGTTTTGAAGTGAATTTGTTTGTGAATTCTAGTAGCATATTATCTTTGTCATGATATGTTGATAACGATACTAATCTGCTATGTGAAGCAAGTCTTAAATAATAAGAGGAAAACTAATTCTAAAACCAATCATAGGGAGAAATTATGATTGCATGTTAGTGCTGGTCGAGCTGCAAGGCTGGCATATTGCACCAAGTGATTATTGAGCTAACATCTCCCATTCAACAAACCTCTTTACCTAATGATGGCAGTTGGCAACATCTGTAATTTTCTTTTGGACAATTTGGAAGATTGGCTTTGTAAATGGAATGACTGCATCTGTTTAATGGAATCAAATATGAACCCGTTGTTTAGTTGGCACTTAAGCTTATGCTTGGTGGTGAAACCTGCTAATGTCAGTGAGCTCAATTGATTATTGTTCTGAAAAGGCGATTCTTGTGGTCATCATTAATTGACTTGATTGCTCCTGATTAGGTTGCTAGGTTATGCAGTTTAAAATTTTCTCAAAATTAAACATGCCATCTATCCATCATAGTGATTTTCTTTTAGTAATATATATGTTTGTTTGTAGCACTGTTCTGAAGATGATAGCATGACAAGGCCACTCATGCTGGTCACTGCTTCTGTTGACAAAATGGTGCTGAAGAAGCCAATCAGTGTTAATGCTGATCTGAAAATGGTTGGTGCAGTCATATGGGTTGGGCGGTCTTCAATTGAGATTCAACTGGAAGTCATTCAGCCCATAAATGGTACTCCGCCTTGAACTAACTTCATTTATGGAAATTTAGGGACCTTTAAAAGTCTGGCAACAAAATTTCACACATACATTGACCTTTAATAAGGTACTGATTGTATTTATCTTGAGAAGAAAAGAAAAACGACATCATCACTTAACTGTTGGCTGTCTTTCAATTTTATATCAGCTTAGTTGTCGGGAATACTAAATTCCAGAAAGGTTAGCAACAAACAATGTGCATTACACCCTAGCAAGGCACAACTTGATATACATGTCATTAGCATGATTTCAGCTCTCCCTTCATTTTGGCCCATTCAAGACAAGTTCTCCACCCACTTATCAAAAAGGCAAGTTCTCCATCCAGATGAACTCGAGGCTGGACTACCTCGTCTAGCCCCAAACTCTAGCCACCAGTATAGCACCTCTAGATATAATTCAGCTGTCATCACGACAGGAGCCCCGACTCTGACAAGCAATAGGACTGCAATGTGTTCCCCATGCCCTGCCCCGACTCAGGCGGCATTCATGATTCAACATCAGGATGCTTGATGGTTCTGAACCAATCCTTTCGCTCTCCAATAGGTTAGTCCTCTCCTTTCTGGAGGAACCAATCATTACAACTTGGAGGTAGAAGGGGCTGTTCATCCGGCCACATCAGATCCTTTCAAGAGAGGGTTGCCATATGGCAATTTGCTTGGACCCTCATTTACTTATCAAATAAAATAAAATTGCTAGGAGCCTCATGACTTGGCTCTAACAAGAAAATTTCATATGTCAACCCATATGTATTTATAAAGACATGATCACGGCAAGATTCTTAAGAACTCACTGTGCCAACCCCCCAACACCCACACACACACCCAATATATATATATTTATATCTATATAAAATCCCTGAAGAAAGTATACTATAATCGGATAATTCACTTAAGGAAGCAGTTTCATCAATCTTCACAAATGTTCTTATTATTTAATTATAATCGTTTTATTTCATTCCTTGTTGTTGTAAAGCATAAAACGGAAGCGAAGAGATGGATAAAACAAGTAAAACACACCGATATTACGTGGTTCAACCACCAGGGGCCTAGGGCCTACATCCATGGCACAAAGAGCCCAAAGGGTTACATCACTTTTATAATACTCTCTCAATTCATATACAATACAATGGTGGAAGCTCTTTTATATAGGAGAATAAATTATGAGAATGGAAAGAATTAGAAAATAGGAAACAAGGAGGATTTTTTTCCATTGATTCCTCTAGTAACACCAAATCTTCAATAATAGGAAACAACATCAATTACTGGAAGATTTTTCTCCACTAATTCCCCCATTAAATTTTCAATACCTATAATAGCTACTCCTCAGCTTCCAAGTGTTCTTATGTATGATAAATTTTGTTGACATACTTCAACAAAATTGTGAGATCATAGGATGGAAGTTTTACTCTAACCTAATTGGTCTGAACTTTATTGTAACAAGTCTCACCAGGATTATCATGTCATTCTTTTTCTTTGTGTGTGCATGTGAATGTATGGTTTGGATTAAAAAGGGAAAATGGTGTGGTTTGGGATTATATTATCTTCTATTTCACATATTACAATTCATATAGAAATTGATTTTCCTTTTCTTATCAACACACCAGTCTTAATTTTTAGAACAAGCAACATGAGATTTGCTAATAACATAACCAAAGATGTGAAGGTTGAAAACCGAATCTTAATAATTAATAATTAGCGCGGAAGGATAGTTTACGGAACCTGCTTTAAATTTGATCAACGTTTGGTTGAAAACTCTTTTAACTCTCCTCATTTATCACCACACTTTTTTGTTTCTTGCACCTTTTCTTTTATTTTGGATTCCTTTATTACTTAAAGCCACCATATCAATTCTTTACGAACTATATCACATTATTTCATCAAAATCAAATTAATATTTAGAACATTGCTCTGGCTACGTTCGGCTGCATGGAATTGGAATTGGTGGAATTGGAGAAAATTTTAGTTCAATTTTCTGTAACTTTGGACCAAACTTTTCTCCAATTCCACCAATTCTAATTCCATGCAACCGAACATAGCCTCTTTAAATGTTTATTTCAATTGCAAAATTATTAGCACACAATTAATTTGGAAAGTGCTATTATTGGTTATGCTTGACATGGATAAATTTGTCTTTCAGAGAGCTCTGATGCATCCGATTCAATTGCTCTTACTGCCAATTTCATATTTGTGGCCCGTGACTCCAAGACAGGGAAAGCTGCTCCGGTCAATCGACTCTCTCCTGAAACTGAACGAGAGAAGTTACTTAATGAAGAAGCAGAAGGAAGAAATAAATTAAGGAGAATGAAGAGAGGAGATGGCAGAAAGGAGTTTGAGAATGGGGAAGTAAATAGACTTGAAGCACTCTTGGCTGGGGGACGGATCTTCTGTGACATGCCAGCGTTGGCAGATAGAAACAGTATTCTTCTTAGAGATACTCGACTTGAGAACTCTTTGATTTGCCAGCCACAGCAAAGGAATATTCATGGTCGGATCTTTGGGGGTTTTCTGATGCAGCGAGCATTTGAATTAGCTTTCTCAACAGCTTATGCTTTCGCTGGCGTGATGCCATGCTTCCTAGAAGTTGATCATGTTGATTTCTTAAGACCTGTGAGTACCCCACCATCAACTTTTCCTTTACCCTTGCATCAAAAAATGAACATAAAAGGATATTATTTCTGTCTGCTAGTAAGCAGTTTCTACTTAATTTTACATGAATTTCTTTTAAATGAAAGTTGTAGAACTTGGAAAAACCCCCATTCTTCATTTGAGTTTTTGTCCCTCCATTATTATCACCTTCATCACAAGCCAATTGTATCATCCTCACAGGGGAGAGAGGGAGTTCATGGGTTTTGTATCTGTGTGTCAATGATGGTTAGCACGAGTGAACACCAACTCTGTACCAACTATGACGTGTTTTTTTCTCATTTTCTGCGATCACTAAAGTCCTTCACGTCACAATGTTAATCAACCAACAGGCAGCCACTACTACTTTATATGCTATTTGGATGACATCAGTCCGTGAGTGGCATTGGATAATCTGCATCTTTAGATCAATTTTTTTACATTTATGGTAAAATGTGAATTTCTTGGTGGAACAGGTGGACGTTGGAGATTTTTTGCGATTCAAATCATGTGTTCTATACACGGAATTCGAGAACATGGATCAGCCACTAATTAACATTGAAGTCATCGCCCATGTTACAAGGCCTGAGCTAAGGTCAAGTGAGGTAAGCTTTAACATTAGCAAGCAACACTTTAAGCTACTGTTATGCCAATTCACATATTCATACTTCCGAGTGATCCCATGGAAGTAGTTTATAATGCCCAACTAGCACGTTAAATCAAAATTGAGAATTTCCGTAAGGTAACTGATATTTGTCCTTGTGGTCTTTACTGATGGAACAGACGTCAAATATGTTTTATTTCACATTCACGGTCTGTCCAGAGGCAAAAGCTGTTGAAAATGGATATAGGATTCGGAAGGTGGTTCCTGCAACAGAGGAGGAAGCACGTCGAATTCTGGAGCGCATGGATGCTAAGGCCTTGCAGTCAGTAAAACATGTGAACAAGTAAACTTCTATTTATTATAAATCACATGCACGAAGCTTGTATGACAAAATTTCTAGACCGAAAAGAAATTAGTAAGTGTGGCTTAGATGTTGTTTTCAATTCTAGTGGCTTAACAATCCACAATATTCATGCGTTTCTGTACTGAAATTTGGTTTCGAAGTTATACAGATGTATGTGTGTTGGGTTTCTACAAGAACTTCCAACAGATAATGCAAATTTGGTATGTTCTCATTCCTCAATGACCTCCAAAATGGACATAAGGTTCTCTTTAAATTGTTTTTGACTACAACTTTGTTATTCGGCCTTTTAAGCTCAACTTTTAAAGTGGATCATTTTTGGTGTAGTGGACTCCATGGAGTTGCTACATGAATCCCACCTTTAATTTGCTCTAGTCTTTTTTTTTTTTCTTTTTTTTTTTTTTCATGAACTCATATTCAGTGCCTATATATTCGTGAACAGTGGCAGAGATTCTTTCCTCTGTGTGGTATAGATTCAGTGTATTTTAATAATACAACCTTATTCCTGTCACAGACCCAAGAAACAAATATGATAAATTTGTGAAAGGGATTGTTGTTTCTACCTTACAAGTGGTGTCATGTCATTTATCAATTAATTCGTGGCAGGCAAATAGCTGTTGGTCCACACTCACCCTCCTTTTCCATTCTCTCTCTCTCCTCAAGGAATATTTATTTACTGCAAATAATTCTCATGTTTTTCACAATTCTCTTGTACACGACAACCGATACCAAGAGCCTTTAGTCTGATGTTACGTTGGAGGTTCTGTTGAATTGTAATTATTTGGCATGATTAATATAAGCTCTCTCTTTGCCAGGGAAAGAAAAAGTGACCATTGTGAGTTACTGTAAGTCTAATCATCTCCGAATCAACAAGACTAGTCAATTAACTTTTACCACGTGTTTGGTCTATAAATAATGGTCCCAAGATTTAGATACCTAAATGTAATCCAGGAGAAACTACTTTCCTGATATAGCTAGGGGGTCACAGCTCATCTCTTAGTAAAAAGCCCTTTTTTTTCTTTTTCTTTTTTCAAAGAATCTTTAACGGTACCTAATTGATCGAGTCCATCTTATCATTTCATGCCTTGTATTTTATAGCACTGTGATAGTGTAATCCAACGGCCATTTTTAAAGTGAAAGACATCAATTATTACTTGGGGCCCAGGCATTCCATATAATTCTCATTTTACTGCAGCATTTGATTGCCCATGTAACTTGTATAATTGTAGTGATGACCAAGTTCTAACCAACCTTTAGGGGTATTATCAGTGTTTACATCAAACGACAAAAAGTTACACCAAATTTAAAATTAAAAATAAAAACTGCAGGAGATAATTATGCTAAATATATGAAATCAGCATATTATTCAGGTTGCTTTTAGTATGTTCTCCTGATGCAACACTGTTATGTATATCAACATCAAAGAATTTGATTCATCTAAGGTCGATTACAAAACCTGACTTCAAAGTGAATCCTGATTTTAGCTTCCTTCACAAAATACATTGATATTATGTTTGAGAGCATCGAATCCATTTCCTTGAATTTGGGATTGGACAAAATTTAATTCAAAATTTATACTATTTTTCTTTCAATTTTAAATCAAAATTTACACACAAAAAAAAAAAAAAAAGATTTCTCGCTGGTACAATTATCTGTTACAACGAAATTAGATTCTTTACTGACTTCAGAGTTTTTTTACAGGATTTATGCAGACAGACCAAACCATCTAGGTAATAATTGCCTTGTTCCTTCCATAGAAAATTTCTTCTCTACATCATCTATAAATTAGTTTCCAAAATTCTTTACACGGATCTATATAAATACAAAAATGAAAAAAAATACATATATCAAATAACCGGCAGGCCCCATTTCACACAAAGCTCCTACCCTGCTATACTGCAAATTACATTCAGTTTTGGCTAAAAAGCAACAAAAAGATCACCTGATATAAGCACTAAGGAGATGAGCCCTCGTCTTCAGATGAACTATGCTGCTGTGTTCCAGGGAATCCACTTGAACCTGGCGGCAGTGTAGGATTCACTGGTACCGGAAATTTATGAGCAGTACTGACTATTGTTCGCTCATTGATCATTCCAACTTCCTTGCAGACCCGGTCAAGAACCGTTAGGAAGTCCCTCACTACCATGAAGATTCTAAATGGATGAGCTTCTTCCTTGGCCGAGTTTCCATGGAAGTACTCGGTGATTTCTTTCACAAGAGAAAGAGCTACACTTTCTTGGGCTTGAATTCTTATAATCTCCTCCTCACCCATTTTCATGAACCTGTTCATGGACTCAGAAAATTTCCAGGTGCTTTCCTCTGACCCAATTGCTTTGTTTAATCGTACAACCTCTGCAATGTTCCCAATTCCTTTAGAAAGCTTTAAGACATCACCATTAAGCACATCTGAATCCATGGCAGCGGCTTTCTTCACATTTGCGAGGTCCAAACTGAGACCAGAAACTACTTGTAGGCCCAGCTTCCTGCACTTGGCATCATCGTTGAAGGTAGATTTTGCATTTTGGTTAGCAGCAGAAAGGCGAGCACCTTCGCTTCTTATTATTTCCTGAACAACAAAATGCAAGAGAGTGGTCTTTCCATCTGCACCCTTGACATCAGCGAGCTTGAGGAGTGTGTCCAGCTTGAAAGCCTGGGCATCACCCCTATTTGTTCCAACATTCATGCGGTTCCCAGTCTTCAGCACAGCTTCTAGAAGCTTCAAAAACATCCTGCTGTTCCTCAGTTCTTCACAAGCTGCCTGAAACAGTAAAAAACTTTTCAAGTGACTATCACCTGGAAGGTTGGAACTAAACAATCTCAAGAGGACAACTATGCAAAGCAACCCTCATTTGCTCCTTGGCTAAACTTCTAGAAACATTCAAGAAGTTCAAGAAACAGGGTTGTGCTCACTCATTGAGTGTTATGTTTGTACAAATATACACTAAACAGAAAATATAATGCAATCCAGCTTATTAATCCTTCACCTAATCATTTGCGATCTCAATGCTACATCATAATAGCTACTGTTGTATCATCTAAATCTTAAAATTTTGATAATATTCTAAATATTCTTCAAACCTATATCTTTACCATTAGATCCTAATTTTTTTTTTAAGTTGACAAAATTGACACTCCTAGCTCATGCTGATGAAAATATTAAAAATATTCCTAATGATAACCATGTAACACAACATGATTCGCATTAGAAATCTACCCAGAAACTGAGGTTGCTGCTCTGCTTGAGTTCAACGTTTTTGCCCAGGACCATGAATAGTTCAGATGTTCTCCACAAGCAACACTTACAAATTTTAGTTCTTCTTTCCTCTTGTTAACTTCCTAATACTTCCGTAAAGGTACCAAATATAAAAATATATACTCTGTTTATCTAATTCTCGGTCGCTGTTATTCAGGGGGAAAAAAAATTCTATGTTGCTGGTCCCTCAATTGGTTTCTATCGCCCATTAAGCACCAATATCCCATGGGAATCAGATGTTTACAGACCCTTAAATATGAAAACTAATTTTGTTGATTTTTATATAGACAACCTAGTTGATTGCCCAGGCACTAACCTGTGACCTCGATTATTAGAAATATATCTAAATGTGAATCAATAATGTAACCCATTAAGGAAAACTAATGATGAAGTGATTGATTTACCTCTAGATTTTCAAATGACCTTTTGAGGTACTCAACCTCAGAATCAAAATTAGCTATGTAGAGCATTGCATCCACCCTTTTAAATGCAAAAGGTATATCAAGCACTGTTTTCAGAAATCTCTCAGCAGGTCCGAGTTTGACTGGTGAATCATCTTTGTACTCTTTCAGCTTACGTTCTTCCTCTTTAGTTGGAGCCATCTTCAATAAACATTCAAGGAGCTCAGTTCCAAGGGTATCTGCATTGCCTGTATACAAGTGCAAAACACATTACTTGGTCATGCTTGTAGCGTACATAAAATGCAGAAATTCCAGATGTCTTTTGAATCATGTAAACGGCGCATATTCAACTCTATGAGAGGCATATTGTTGGGTGCATAATGTAATTGCAAAGTGTGAAAAATGAATAATGTATAGCAGCCTACTCACTGAGAAGCCACATGGGCAAAACTAAGATATCAGATTATTACGAAATATGTAACAACATAAAGTAAGTTATCATGTCATTCCAGCAAGTAGTCTTTCCTTGATAACAAATACAGCGAAAAGTAAGTGAATAACCATGGGATGTTACATACCACATTTATTGGGTATGAACAAGGGTGCTTACAAAATTTCAAGACTTCAATATCAGATAATATGCAAGGTCGAAAAATCAAGAAAATAGGTGGAATGCGTAGAGTAATCACACTAGAGACTGATACAAGGAAAGATGACCCTCAAGAAAGCAATGCATTAAAGAGGAATAAAGAATAGAAAAGTCATTTTCTCACATACTGAAGGATAAAAACTATGATAATCCTTGAATAATCCTTGCAAGGAAAAGAGAGTCAGGCATTTTGTGAGCCAACACCCTCAATTTAAGCCCATATTGTAAACAAAATATGCATAAGCAGCATTTAACATTCTAAATGCTTCTTGTAGCTAACCGATGGCATACAAAACCCAAGTTAACATTTGATTCTGCCAGTTTATAGATGGTACACCAATCACATACTCCTGGAGAACATAAGCTATATATATAAAGAGAAAAATGTTTGATTGTAGAACATTTCATGCACTCATAAGAAAATTGTATCAATGCAAATAAAGCTTGTAGCTCCCCCCTCCGCTTCAAATAAACTCGTCCTTGAGTTTAACTCATCATATATGAGTACAATGAAAAAGATGTAACATCGCAATGAAAATCAACCCTACACAATGACAAGTGCTCTCAATTATTTATTTCTTGGGGGGTCACATTTATTGCAGGAACCAAAAGGAGATGAATACTTAGTATTTACTATTAGTAAGTTACCTTCTAAAAGGGCTTCACAAACTTCTTCTGTGGTCACATTTAGTGCCCTCAGTGAAATTGCAATGTTCTGTGACTTCTTTGGATCAAGTACCCTGTCCTCTTGGTTTGGTGAAGGAAGAATTGGGCGTCGAATAGGTTCCTTCGGGTTTGAGTTCGGAGTATTAACAACAAACAATGTTTCAATCATCTCCTCATTCAATCTACAACCAACCCAACTCTATAAACTTTAGAGAGAAAACACAATTTACATAACAATTACATAACAAAGAAGACGAAATTTGGTAGTGAGAGAGTTCAGTATCTTACTTAAACGAGCTCGACCTCAGCTGATCCCACACCATTTCACGACCAGAACTTGCTCTTACTTTGTCCCAATGTAAGGCCTTCAATTTTGGTTTCAAACTCTCCTCATCATTTTCAACTGTTCCCAAATTCGGAGGCAATTCCATCGGAGAAATAGAAGTTGGAGTTTGAACTATAATAGGCCTTGAAGGTGTTACTAGAACCGGTGGTTTCAACATTGGCTGACGAATTGACGGAGTAGAAACCGGCGTTTCCCAATGCCTTGGTAGTGGTGGCAGTGGTGGTGGTGGTGGCGGCCGCCGCGGAGGCTGAGGCGGTGGCGGTGGCGGTGGCGGTGGCGGTGGCGGTGGAAGAGTGTTAATAAGTAAAGCTGGAGACTCCACGTTTGATAATCTGGGTGATGAATCTTGGCTGTTCGGCAAAGATCTTTCCGGTGAGGTCGAAGAAGGCGGAGAAGGCGAAGGGGAAGGTGAATAAATCTTATTAGGCAACGGGGTCGCAATTGGCGGTGGCAAAGGAGGCGGCGGAGGAATATGAACCGCAACCAATTCCGGCGATTTTGGTCTCGGAGACAAATTAGCCGGCGGAGAGATACTTAGTGATTCTGAATGAGTTGGTGAACCCGAACTCGAAGACGAGGAGGACAAAGAAGTGGATTTAGAGCTCTTCCTCTCAAAATTCTCCCCTGCTACAACCTCAAACATTCTCCTCGACGCCGATCTAGTGTCGATCGAACTCTCTCGACCGCCTAAAGACCCACTCGGAGAGTAAAACTCTTCATCTTCCTCGTCCCCAGCAGAACCCACATCGACATTTTCGTAATTCGTAGGCAAATGTTGCGCGGTAAGCGGTGGAAGAGGGTGGAGCTCCGGCGAGTTTAGTTTCATTTGATTTTCTCCGCCACCACTTCTGTAACTAGCACCTCCGTTATTGGAAGCAACATGAGCGTCGATGCCACCGCGAGAATCAACAATTGTACCCAGATAAAGAAACTCAGAGCTATTGGGAGGCGATCTACGCTGCTTGTGACTGCCATTGGGAGCATATCGAGCACTGTAATGGAACAGTCTGCTACTGTTATCGGATCTGTAAGTCTTGTCGTCGCTGAAACTCCGTCGTCTCCGACGACGAATGTACAGAAACATGACAACGGTGGCGATAATGGCGGCAACGATGACGAGGGTAACGGCGACGGGGACGAGTTTGGAAGTGGATTTTGGTTTGGTGGTTTGTGGTAGGATGAGAGAAGAGATATTGGCGGGGAAGGAGGCGAAGGAAGAGGGAGAGGGAGGAGAGGGTGGACGAGGTGAGGAAGGATAGGATGGAAAAAAGGGCTCTTGGTTGGGGGTAGATGTGGAAAATGGGATTTTGGGGGTTGGGGGTGAAGGGGATGGAGGCTGAGAAGGAGGTATAGAGTCTAGTGGCAAGAAGGGCTGGTGGAGGATTCTGCGATTGTGGGTGGCAATGGCGGTGGTTGAAGTTAAGAGGTGGGGTGCACAGGATAAGAGGAGAATGAGGAGGAAGAGGAAGATGGCCATTTTTGATGGTCTAGAGAGAGTAGAGTGTGTCTTGTTTATGTGTGGACTGTGAGAGTGAATGTAGCACTTCTGTGGAGACTATTTCCACAGTGTGTGTGTGTGTGTGTGTGTGATGAGGAGGAGGACGACAAGGGTGGGGGGTGGTGGTGGTGGTGGGTGTGAAAGGTTTGGTAATTCAGAGTGGGCTGACGACTACTTATGACTGAATCCAGCTAAGGTTATGCTGGTGTTGATTTTCTTCTGGTGAAAATCTTTGCTCTGTGTAAGAGAAGTGTATTAATTTTTCTTTTGAAATTTAACAACTATCAATCATGTGGGCCCAATTCATTAGCTTTGGTCTGGGCATTAAAGAGGCCTTTTCTAATTTTGTTTTTTTCTCCCATAAAAAAAATTTGTTTAGATAAAGGTGGGAAAAAAATATTAAAGGAACATGATCATGGGAAAGTATGGATTTTTTTTTTTGGTTTTTCAATAAACTTCACTAGGAAGATTTCCACAATGCTTATCATGAAAATATCTGAAAAATCTTATTTATATATATAAAAAAATGTTATTAAATGGATCAAAAGGAAGCTTTTCTAACATATTCACTAATTTTCGCATAAACTTTTGTCATCTCACATCTTTTTAAATTCTAATCCAAATAGTGTAATAAACTAACATAGTTAGGTTGGTGAATTAGAAACTTTTAGGAGTATAAACATTTGAATTATATCATGATCTTTAAAAATATAGAAATTGTGTACCAAGTAAATCCCATTCTCACAAAATAAAATAAAATCCTCACTGTATGTAAATATATATTAATCTAATACTAAGTTGGAATTCATTACAAGTATTAGGATTATTTAGGAGCGCACTTGAAAGTGGGAAGCAAAGAAAAATGGGGAGTCAAATCGCCAAACGAGCTTTACCGACAATTACGCCCGAAATTTGAGGGCCACAGCACGCTTATCAAATGTTTGTTACAATGGCCTCATTATTTATTTCACCACCATTTTGTACTGTGAATGAACTTACCTAAACCCTATAAATGTTGTTTGCACGAGGGGAATTATAATGGTCAGACATTGGGCTTCAATATTCTACCATGCATTTAAATCAATAAATATCAGAACCTCAACAACCTTTTATTAATTTTCAATTATATGATATTGTAATGTTACAATTTAATGTAATAATGTATGAGTGTTGCATTTTCAATTTGATTTATACAAATTAATACTCAATTCTTAGTTGTATGTATTTAATATTTATCAACTATTTATGATATAATCCCTTGTGTGGGGGTTCTTACATTATATATATATTAGGATCGGTCCTTGAATTTTTAAAATTTCAGAGGCCTTAGGCGAACTTTCAAAAGTGAGGCTCTTTATAAGATTTCATATGCTCAAAAAAATTATAAGAGACCTTTTACGAAACAATAAACACATAAAATATATTAATGATGAAAACATACAAAACAAAATCCGGTCTTTGTGCTTTATTAAGAGCGTGATCTAATTTATGTCAAAAAATTAAAAATATGTATTCATAGCAACTTAGTCACAAAAATCAAAATTCAGGATCATATCAAAGTAAATATGATCCTCTTGCTGCAAAATTATGAATTAAAATGTTCTAATCAAATTTATCCGACATATATTTCAATAGATATCATACACAATCCATTCAATCTCTCTTATGACATCATTAATCGTAGGTAAGATTTGATAAACTTTAACTTTGAAAAACTTCTCCTAACAGATGCATCTGTAATTGTGATAGTTGATAAAACTTTATATGCAATTCGAGCATTTGGAAAATAATAACTTAATTTTTTTATGAAATCAAATACTTCAATTGTTTTTTTTTTTGTTTCTCTTGTTTAATTTCTCTTAATACTTGTAGCTCTAAAAATAATTTTGTCCTATTAATATCATAGACAATGTCATATTCTAAGAGATCTTACAAGGTTATTTTTTTAAATGTGACAGCTGATTGCACCCATAAGTTAAAAATTTGATTGTTTAGATTGGACTTCACGGATCATAGGCACATGAGCCTGGAAATAATATAATAATAAAATAAACCAATTTCTAAGTTTAAATATAAAAAATTAATTTTTTTTTTTGAAGGGAGGGGATATAAACAAATTATTGTATAAATATATATAAATTGATATTAGAAGTACGTGTTAGTGCCTCTTGTGGGCTTTAGAGTGTCATGTTTCGACTCTCTATATTTACTAATCTAATTTCTTCTTGCCTTGTAATATATATATAATAAAATTATGGCAATAAATACACGTACTTATAATATATATATATATATATATATATTATAAGTACGTGTATTTATTGCCATAATTTTATTAGTTTTAAAATTTTTATTTATTATCATAAATTTACATGGTATATAAGTATGTATTATCTTTACCCGAATATTAGACATATATTACTATATTTGTATTATGATCTTAAATTTGAGGCCTTTCAAATTGGCGGCCTAGGCAACTGTCTTGGTCGCCTTGTCCCATGATGGCATTATGTGTGTGTGTGTGTGTGTGTTGGGGGGGGGGTGGGGGGGTAAGTTTTGAGCTAAGATTTTATAAATAATAATGCATCCAATAGCTTATTTGACAAGAGATACATATCTTGAGTGTCATCATCAAGCAATGAAGATGTGTTGGGGGGGGGGGGGGGGGGGGGGGGGGGGGTGGGGGGGTAAGTTTTGAGCTAAGATTTTATAAATAATAATGCATCCAATAGCTTATTTGACAAGAGATACATATCTTGAGTGTCATCATCAAGCAATGAAGAAACAAAAATATCCGAGTGGATTGGCATTATTAACCAGATAAGAAAAGGTGGTTGGCAAAGAACTTGCACAACAAACTTCAAAAATAAAAAATAAAAAAAGAATTATTTATATTGAAAGGTATTGAAACGTACATCAATAAATAATAAAACTGAATAAGAAATTCGCTTTGTGTCAACTCAGACGTCTTGTTCATAAGAATCAAAAAATGTTGCTACTAAATACTACAGTTCTTTAAATATCTAACAAGAAATGAACCATTGCAAAATTAACAATTAGACCTTCTTGATTTTAGTGAGATTAGAGGCCATAAGTAGGAGATCGAGGCAAACACAATAATTATGTTTCTAAATAATTTGTGACATGACCAAGGCATGGACAAAATTAATACTGTAATAATTTTCTTTTCTGTTTTTTTGTAATCTTTGAGGACTCGAACTTAAGGAATGAGGAATAACGACCCGAACACGAACAAATTAGTATGCTTTTCAAGCATAATGTTCTACCAACCGAAGAATTAAGAGTGTGTTTGGATAGATAGGAGGAAAAAAAAAAATAGTATTAGTTAGAAAAATAATAAATAAATAATAATAATAAAAAAAATATAGTTATTTTTGTTTGGATAAAATAGAGGAGAGAAAAGAAAATAAAGGATAGTGACCAAATTACTATTTTACCATTTCATAACCACTTCACACATTATTTATTACCAAATACTAGGGTACTTTAAGGGTCAGTTTGGTATAATGGAAAAGGAAGGAAATGGAATGGAAGGTGATGAAGGGGGATAAAAAATTTGTGTTTGGCAAAAATTGTTGGAAGGAAAGAGAAGGGTTTGGAGGGTTAACACGAGGCTTCAACGATAGATTTCTTAACCTCCCAAAAATGGAAGGAAATGAAAGGAAAGGGAAGGAGAGGCTTGGTGTGTGATTTGTGATGCAAAATTTGCCCTTGATTACATGTGAATTTAGTTTGCAAAACAAGAATTACAAACCTTGATTAGTTGATTTAGCAGTTGTAGAGAGAGAGAGGGGGGCAAGCTTGAGAGTTGAGGAAAGAGGGTCAGCGGTTGAAACTTGCGAACGGCGAACCCGAATTGGAACAGCGGGCGATGGAAACTGAGATCGATATAGGTTTTGATTTTTTGAACAACCTGAAATTGGGTTTTGATTTTTTGAACAATCTGAAATGATGCCAATATGGGTTTTGAACTTTTGATTCTTGCAAACAAATATATAAACTGAAATATATAGGTTTTGAACTTCTGATTCTCGTAGTAGTTAGCAGTTGGAGAGAGAGAGAGAGAGAAATGACAAGTTCAGAGTTGAGAACAAGAATAGAGATGGAGGCTGAAATGATTTGCCCTAAAAAATATTTTCATTTTTTGGTGGCCAATCCATGGGTAGGAGATAAATATATATATATATATATATATATATATATATATATATATATATATATATATATTAAAATATAAAAGGGCATAATAGTAAATTTATTAAAATAATTCTTCTTCTTATCATTTTCTTTCTTTCCCCAAACATGATTATTATCCTTCCCTTTCTTTTCCATTCAATAATCAACCAAACACGATTGAAGAATAAAATTATCCTTCCCTTCGCTTCCCTTTCCTTTCCTTCATAACTAATATTATTCTCCACTTCAAATCCACCATACCAAACATAGCCTAACTACTTTTTAATGCAATGGATATGCTATAGTGTGTTCACAATAAAAACCCTCCTATTTACCTATAATAACATGATTTTCACAAATAATAAAAAGAAAACTTTAGTAGGAATATCTTTACGTAATTGCTGAATTTATGTTCCTATAATCGTGGAAATTCAAATTAGATGTACAAAGAAACAAAATCTGAAGAGCAGTTGAATTGTGCCCTGAACCAGAGACTTAGTTGGAAAATACAAAACCTATTGTGATTATGCCTAGTATGAGCCTGAAACAGTGATTATAACATAATTAGAAAACACCAACAAAAGAAAAGGTAGAGAACACAAGATGAAATCAGCCATTCTATAACAAAATAGTTGGAAATGATTCAAGAATGACAGAAAATGCAAATAACCAATATATAAGTATCTTTTGGGATATAAATGGAATAATTTTTCTGTATATTGATTTATGGAGGGTATTTTTGGTATTACAAATTAATCACTTACTCCACCATTCTTTTTCTCCCTATCTTCTCAAATTAGGCATGCATGTATGAGTACCAATTAGGAAAAAAAAAAAATTAGGAAAGAAACCTTTCCTATCTCTCCCTATCCTCTCTTTTCTCTCCACTTAATCCACCCAAACACACTCCCTTTCTCTCCCTATCCTTTCTTTTGTTTTCTCTCCCTGTCCCTCCAAATCAACCCATACAAATAAATTCCATTGTCTTCGTGAATGCCTCTCTCTTCTCAAAGACAAGCTGAAGACTTTGTTGAGACGAT